CTCTCTCTCTCTCTCTCTCTCTCTCTCTCTCTCTCTCTCTCTCTCTCTCTCTCAAATAAATAAATAAATTAAAAAAAAGAAAAGAAAATGAACGTGAAAGAATCTTTAATCTTTCTGATTATACTTGATTAGAAACTGTAATCAGTTGAGTCTGTGAGCTCATGAAATTGCACGTGAATTATGATGATGTGTGAGTCTGTATCTTCTTCTGGAGATAGGATCAAATTTCATTGTGTTTATACATTTTTATTGCGTTACATAAAATAGCATGTAATGTACCATCTTCACCATTTTAAAACAAGCATTTTAATAGTGTTAAGTACATTTACCTTACTGTGGAACAACTCTTTTATAATTTAAAGATAGCAATATTCAAAATAACAATCAGTGTTGGATTCTTATCATTTTGTTTTGTGAAATACTGTATCATTTCTAACTTTTTTTACTTTTATTGTAAAAAGTTAAAAATTAAAAAATTTGTCATCTCCCAACTCTGAAACTCTTAACCAGTTTTTATTATTTTTTGAAGGGGACCAGTTTCTCCAAGAAAGTAAGGTCTGAAACTAATAGAGTTTAGAGAAAAGACAGACAGGATCAAGGAAACCAAGTAAGAAATAGAGATGCATTTATTTAAATCAGAGGTCCTTTTTAGGGACTCTATGGATAGTTTACAGGGCCTATATAAAGGCTCTGAATGGCTACCTACACCCAGAATGATTTGTAAAATTGTATACTTGTGAGTATCTGCAGTGTTCTGGAGAAAGTGTTCCTAAATCCACTTATCTGACCAGCATCCCCTTTGACAGATGGTACAACTGAGGCCAAGGGAAAGATTTTCTCAGTAGCGTAGACTGAATTATTGGTAGATATCTAGACACAATCTAGATATCCTCCTTTATTGATATATATATATATATATATATATATATATATGTTATTGAGAAAGGAGTAGCAATGACAGTTTCAAAACAGGTCAGTAGGACTGTTACAATAATTAATACATTGCATATTGTTGTTGTCTTCATAGTAGTTATTCAAAGGACAAGATGCAAACATGATTTCTCATCTAAACACTATTAGTTCAAACTTTTCTTCTCATTGAACTAATAGAAAGTAGGGGTATGACATTTGTAGTCATGTGGATAACCCACTACTTTATAGACTACTGGACTATATTGGATTACTTTGTTGAACTCATGCACCTACACTATATGAATGGCATTGGAATACTCATCTCTGACAAAAGTAAACAAAAAAGGGGGATATAAAGAAGGTCCATTTGGCAGTGGAAAAAATATATATATGTATATGAAATGTTTCTTACTATCATATTTTCTCCCAAATCTGTGACTCTATCACAAACTCTATCAACATTTAAGGATTGATTACAAAAATAATAATGTTCCACAAGGATTTCTTGAGTATTATATGTCAGGCACTGTGCTTAGAATTTTACATGGACAAATATATTGAATTTTTATGAATTCATACTTTGGAACTTGCTAACCTTTTTGCAGATTGGGAAATCTGGACTCCAACACAAAAATGAAGTAATTTATGCATGCTAATACATAGCAGATCTGGAGTCAAATTTACTACTGGAAGAGTCCATACCTTGTATTTCTAACTATGGCCTTCCAAGGGATTTTGTTTTTGGTATTTTATTTTACTATTTTCTTTTTCAGTACTGGGAATTGAACTCTGGGCCTCGCACTTGCTAGGCAGAAGCTGCGCTACTGAGCTACATCTCTGGCCCTCTAACTATGGCCTTCAATTTAGACAATTTCTATCACACAGGTGCCCCAATTGACACTACCCTCTACCTGAGCCGCACTGTCTCCAATGTGATCAGTTCTATTGTCTTTGGAAGCCGGTTCGACTATGAGGACAAGCAGTTCCAGACTTTGCTAGCTAAGATAAATGAGAGTTTCACTGAGATGAGCCGCCCTTGGGCACAGGTGACCACTGGGGTCTTCTCTATCTATTAACTAAGTGCTGCCCTATATCTCCCTTAATTCTCCCCATGACCATGGAGACAGATATCAGTGTGCTGGAGAATCCAAGAAGCAAAAATCTATATTCAATTCTCAGAGCCAGCACTGGATTAGGAGCCCAGGTCTGATTCCAGATAGCTCACTTGGCTTCTGGTACCAGCCACTGACAAATCTCCTTTGCCTATTCACCTCAGCTATATGAGATGTACTCTGGAATCATGAAGTATTTGCCAGGAAGACACAAGTATTTGTACAACTTGATAGAGGAGATAAAGGAGTTCGCTGTACAAAGGATCAAAATCAGTGAAGCATCTTTCAATCCCCAAAACCCTCAGAACTTCATTGACCATTTCCTCATCAAGATGCACCAGGTACCCAATCCTTTACCTCCAATCCATTTCTCTCAATTCTTCAATCCCTACTGTCTGCAAATTTCAACCTATTTATAAGTGTTTGGGGGAAAAGAACAAGTTTTATTTCACATGGCTTACTTTTATCAATACATGAGATATAAAAACTTTGATGCTATAAACTCAACACATAAAGTTTTAAATTAAGATAAAACATTTATTTCCATTAATTTGCATCAATTATATGCATTAATAGGTGACAATTAATGTGTTTTTATAATGCACCCAGTATACCCTGGACAAATTCTAAATCCCACTTTTTATTCAACTTTCCCATTCTCTGGTATTTACTATTCTACTTTCTTCGTTTTATTTTTGAAAACGTATTAATATTTTATTTACATTTTTCTGTTATAATTTTTTATTTTAATAATTTTATTGAGAAATAAGTAGCAATGAGATAGTTTCAAAACAGGTTACTAGTATGGTTACAATAATTAATACATTGCATATTTTTGTCTTTATAATAGTTATTCCTAATACGAGATGCAGACACGATATCTTGTGTAAACACTATTTGTTCAAAACCTTCTTCCCATTGAACTAACAGAAAGTAAATGTATATTCATGCTCTTTTGTATATAAATGGTCCTTCATTTATACCCCCTTTTCTGTCTACTTTTGTCAGAAGTGTGTATTCCATTGCCATTCATATATTGTAGGTGCATGAATTCAGCAGAGTAATCCAATATAGTCCAGTAGTCTATACGCTATTCTACATTCAGGCACACATTTTTTAGCTTCTCCATATAAAAATGAATTGGAGTATTTGTCTTTCTCTGTCTGGTTTACTGAATTTAACATGATGTTCACCAGTTCTATCAACTTTATTGCAAGTGACAAGATTTCCTTCTTTACTATGCTGGATAATGCTCCACTGTGTGTGTGTGTGTGTGTGTGTGTGTGTGTGTGTGTGACAATTTTGATATCTAAAATAGATTTTGAATTAGAAATCTTAGCAACACAGTAACTTTAAATGTCACACCTTCCTAATTACTTATGCCAGAGACTTAAACTTACAGAAAGGGAGAACAGACCTTTTAAGAAACTTAGCTTAGTCTTTAAAAGTATTAAAAGTTTAAGGCCTTATAAATGTAGAAATATAGGGGCTGAGAGATGGCTCAGTGGAATAAGCGCTTCCCTGGCAAGCCCAAGGACCTGAGTTCAATCCCCGGTTCTGCAAAAAAGAAAAAAAAAAAAGAAAAGAAAGAGAAATGTAGAAATACAGAAACAATCTATCTGTATCATTGATTCTGAGAATTTTTGTTTTTTTAATTTTTTAACTAATTTTATTGAGAAATAAGTAGCAATGAGATAGTTTCAAAACGAGTTAGCAGTGCAGTTACAATAATTAATACATTGCATATTGCTGTCTTTGTAGTAGTTATTCCTAGTACGCGATGCAGACATGATATCTCGTCAAAACAGTATCAGTTTAAAACTTCCTTCTCATTGAACTAAGTGAAAGTAGCTGTATATCTATGCTAGTTTGTAAATACAGGTATATATATTTTTCACCACAAAAATGGTCATTTATATCCCCCTTTTTTCTTTACTTTTCTCAGAGATATGCATTCCATTGCCATTCATATATTGTAGGTGCATGAATTCAGCGGAGTATATTGATTCTGAGAACTTTGGAGATTCAACAGATTTATTTTTATTAGAGAAATTTAACTTTTAACTTGGTGATTTAAAACTATAACCCAATTTTTGAAAATTAACATGTGATTCTACTTTCTCCTCTTCCCATTCTACTTTGTTCACCCATGCCAAACACAATGGCCTCTTCTTGCTGTTCCTCTGACACACCAGGCACACTCCAGCCTTAGGAATTTTGCTCCAGTTGTTTCCTCTCCTGAACTTGGTTTACTTATCTATTGCATTTTCACAAATACCTACTCTCGACACAGAGAGAACATAAGAAAATAAAGACTCCAGAGATTCTATTTACTATCTCTTTTGCTTTCAGGAAAAAAATAATCCAGACACAGAATTCAACACCCAGAACTTGATCACCACTACTGTCAACCTCTTCTTTGCTGGCACAGAAACAGTGAGCTCTACACTACGTTATGGAATCCTGCTGCTAATGAAGCACCCTGATGTAGAAGGTCAATGTTTTCATGAATTACTTATCAGTTACCTCCCACTGATAACAGGAAGGGAGACGCCATTTTGATAATTTAGAATCCTACAACTGTCTCTTAACCCTTCATCACTTTATCTTTTTAATTTTTTAAATACTAAATGGTAAGAGAAAAACCTTAAAAAAGACACAAAATTTCATTCAACAAAGTAATAGGAAAGATATATCATACTGAAATTTCTGACACAAGAGGCTACTAATTTAACCTTTGACTTGGTTACTGTATTTGTTTCCTATGGCTGCTGAAACTTAGCATTTTAACCATCACGAGTTTAGTATCTTACAATACTGAAGTCAGAAATTCAGAAGATGTTCATTAGGTTGAAACCAACGTTGAGTCTAATTCCCAGTCTCTTCCAGTTTTTAAGGATGTATTCTTTGTATTTCAGGGTGTAAGCCTGACTTCCCTCCCTCCTTTTCTTCCTTCCTTCCTTCCTTCCTTTCTTCCTTCCTTCCTTCCTTCCTTTTTCCACTTATTTTGATACAGGGTCTTGTCAGATAGTTCAGGATGGCATTGAACTCACTATTTAACAAGTACTAGCCTTGAACTCAGAAATCTTCTTGCCTCAGTACTTTGAATGCTGGGATTACATGTATGAACCACCATGTCTCACTACATGACTCTTTTTTTGCATCTTCAGATCCAGTGGTGTAGCATCTTTTCTCTGCTGAAAGAATTTGCTTCTTTGTCACATCTAATTCTAATCCTACTTCTGTTTTATAAAGACACACACGACTTTATTAGGATCAAATCTAGATAATCCAAGATAATCTCTCTATAAGATCTTGAATTTAATGGTATCTGCTTATTTATTTATTTATTTATTTGTATTTTTAGAGAAAGGCCTACAGGGTGTTCAGGGTCTCACTACTAGATCATACTCTTAGTGAATCTCCTATTTACAGCCTTCCAAGTGCTGGGATTGCAGGCACATACCACCTTGCCCACTCTAAATTGCTGTCTCAGTGTGCCCTCCAGGGCAGGGCCAGCATGGCAGGCCCAGGCTTGCAGGCACCTTAATTCGCTGAGCTATTTGGCTGGCCCTGGTAATCTGCTTTAAAGTCCTCCTGTTAGCCTACATACATAACATTTTAGAAATTAGGAGGTGGTTATCTTTTATGGATATTTGATTAAATGCACTACCAAAAGCAAATAGAATAATTTTAGTAAATTTTGTTCTGGTCTATTTGGGCAATTTTAGTGAGAAGTTCATTTCTTGCTTAAAGAAATTCTCAGAATTGGCCATTCCCTTTACTAAAGTAGTTCAAAGGGCTGGGGAGATAGCTCAATGATCTAAGCACTTCCTGGCAAGTGCAGGGACCAGGGTTTGATCCCTGGTACCATGTTGGTCCACCCCAGGTGCACAGTGCTGGCCACAAAACTGGGAATGGTGTCCATAACTGTAATCCCAGCACTGGGTAGGCTGAGACAGGAATATCACTATGATTCCAAGCTTCATAGCAAGACCCTGCACCAAATTTAAAAACAGAAATTCAAATAAGCCTTGCATAGGTATTTGGTGTTTTAGTAAAGACCAGATGTCCTGCCTGACATTCAAGGTTCCAAATTGTGTGCTTCCCATTATTTGATGAGACTTATTAAACACTAACGATGTATCACTTCTTTCTTTTTAATACGGAGTTTCACTATGCAGTTCAGGCTAACTTGAACTCTTTTAAGCTGAGATTGGCTTTGAACTTGCAACAATACTACTTCCTCAGCTTCCTGAGTGTTGGGATTACAGGCATGTGCCACCATACCCAATGGGATATATCTGTTCTTAAGTACAGTATAAAGAAATAGTGAAAACATATACAGTCTTTATTCCCAGAAATCTCTTTCATAGATAGCGATAATTTCTCTGGCTTAAGATTCTTAACTGTTCTGCTACATTTTCTGATCTAGCCAAGGTTTATGAAGAAATTAGGCAAGTGATTGGACCACACAAGATCCCAAGTGTCAATGACCGGCCCAAGATGCCCTACACAAATGCTGTCATCCATGAAATACAGAGAATGACAAACATTGTTCCCATGGGTGTCCCTCATGTTGTCACCCAGCATACTCATTTCCGAGGATATTTCCTCCCCAAGGTGGGTTTGCATGCTCGTATCCATTCCTTCACCTTTCCCTTTTACTGTTGTTCCATCCCATTTATCCAATACTGATTTCTCTTAATTATTCCTATCTTCATCCCAGGGTACAGATGTGTACCCCTTAATTGGTTCAGTCCTCCAAGAGCCCAAAAACTTCCGCTACCCAAATGTCTTCTATCCCCAACATTTCCTGGATGAGCAAGGATGCTTCAAGAAGAATGAAGCCTTCATACCCTTTTCTCATGGTAGGTTTCTGTGCTCTAATTACCACCACCACCCAGGTAAGTGTTATAGCCACCTATTGAAGTCCAAATCAGAATGGAGAAGTTGGAGGCAATGCCATAGAATCACCAAATATTAGAATCCCAGGATTAGGAGATATTAGAATCATTGACTACTACTTAGGGGGCAAATAACCTATTAGAACAGTAACCACATAAAACAGGATCAGAAAACTTTTTCTGTTAAAAAAGATACACCCAGGCAGAGTGGCACATACCTGTAATCCCAGCACTAGGGAGGCTGAGTCAGAAAGATCATTGTGAGTTCAAAACCAGGCTGGGCTACAAAGTGAACTCAAGGTTAACTGAACTACATAGAGAGATCCTGTCTCAAAAAGATCAAAATAATAATAATAATAATAATTAATAATAATAATAATTAATAATAAAAAGAAAGATACTTGATATTTTAGGTTTGCTAGCCATATTAATAATAATTAATAATAAAAAGAAAGATACTTGATATTTTAGGTTTGCTAGCCATATGACCCTTGTCTGAACTATTCATCTCTACCATTGTGCTGTGAAAGCAGGCATTGACAACAACGAAATGAATTATCTTTCATATGAACCACAAAACTTTATTTAATTTCATGTATCAAAAATGTCATTTAGGGGCCTGAGAGATGGCTTAGTAGAATAAGCGCTTGCCTGGCAAGCACCAGGACCTGAGTTCAATCCCCAGCTCTGAAAAAAAAAATGACATTTAAAAATTCTTTTACAAACATTTAAAAATATGCAAACCATTTGTAATTTGGAAATGCCCTGCAAACAATAGTGCAAATTCAACCCAGTAGTTTCAGGATCCATGACGTTAGTGCTGTGGTAGCAAAATTATAGCATGGGTTTTATTTACATTTTTAAATTTTTAAACGGATAGATGTTAATATGTGAATCGTTTTTTCTAAACTAAAACCTCAGTACATGGGCTTAATAGCATGCTGGCACTTTGTGATAAATGAGTTGGGTTTTTGTTGCAGTTTAGGTACTCGTCTCAACAATTGTCTTCAAATGGTTTTTAAGTGGAAGCCACATAGAACCTGGAATCAGAGTAAATTACTCTAGCTCCAATTTGTGAAATGTAGATTAATCTCTTTAATTCCTTTCAAAGGGCTCTTAAATAATGAGCACTTTTAAAACATGAGCTTTCATTTGTTTCTCTCATCAATATCTGGGAGCTAATAGGCATTTGAAAACAATTGAGGAATTGAAATGAGCACAGTTTTGAAATTTGTAGATGATTTAGAACCATTTTACCTTGGATTCAATGAGATATGAACCATTAAAGAAATAGCTGCCATGTGTAGAGATCTACCAAGTGCAGATCCTAAATGAGAACTAGCTGTCAGAATCCACTGAGCCTTGATAATGAGCCAACATAGTAGATATGGTCATGACTTGTGATGCTGATCAAGCAGCTGAGGCTTGCTGGGGTGGTCATTCCTGCAAGTTCATGCATGGTCATCTCACATCTTGCAGGTGTGACCCATCTTCCCAACATTTTCTGTCTCCCCAGGAAAGCGTAACTGTCTGGGGGAGAGCTTGGCCCGTATGGAACTCTTCATCTACTTCACCGCCATCATTCAGAACTTCTCCTTACGTTCTGTGGTACCCCTTGCTGAGGTTGATATTACTCATCAGATCTCTGGCTTTGGCAACATCCCCCCACCTTATCAGGTCTGCTTCATAGCCCGATGAGTACTCATTATTTGTCAAGAAAAAATCATTAGAAAGATGAGCTGTACTCACCTCCTTACCTCTCCAAATTCTCACATGTGTAATAGAAAGATGTCTTACTATTGTAATGGGCCCATAGCTCAGGGAGGGTCAACTGCAGGTCCTCTGTAGATAGTAGAAGAGCAATGTGCTGACCAGGATTTAGACAAAAATTTACTTTTTGTAGTTAACTCCTTTTTTGCATTTACGTATTCAATACAGCATCTCACTATGCAGCTCAGACTCCTAGTGATCCTCCTGTTTTCAGCCTTCCCAGTGCAGGGATTACAGGTGTGTGCCAGCATGTCCAGACTCAGTCATTGGCTCAATGTGCCTGAAGGGTGGTGCTGGCATGGAATGTGGGACCAGGAATCAAACCTTGGTTCCTGTGCTTGCCAAAGCAGGCACTTGATCCACTGAGCTATCTCACCAGCCCATTTTGTAGTTAATTAAAGCACCTGTGTTCTGGTTTCTGTCTGCACCAAACTTTTTCCTTTGTCTTTATCCTAGTATTGACCAAAATAAAGTTCAAAATAAATTCCTTTGTGATTTATTTTCATCTTCACCTTTATGTTCACCTCCACTCTGAAAGTCAAGACAGAAATCAAGGCTGTTGACTGTAACATTTATTGTATACTGAATTAGACACTCACTGAGCTATAAAATGCACCTGTCTTCCTTCTCATCTCTTCTGATAAACTTGCTTTCATTGTTGCTCTTAACATAATTCCAAATTCTATATGCTCCTAACTCTAGTTTTTAAATTGTTCATAGCTACATTTGTTCAATGTCTAAGCATCATTGACTTGCTCAGCTGATGGAAACCACTCATGTAATTTCACCAGCCAATATTTGTCAAATACCCAATATGTGCCTTAGGTACTTGAGATACATCATTGAACAAAATAAAACAAAAACTCCTGCTCTGGTGGATCCTACATTCAAGTGGGGAAGGTAGATATTAAAGCAAAAGCTTTGGTTACTTCATGTAGAAAAAGGTGCTCACTGCCAGAAGGTGATTGATTAGCTCAGAAAATAATGGAAGTTTTGAGAGAGAAAAAAAAAGCAGCCTATAAATGTGAATGGGAAACATGTGGCTACAATAGGGAAACAGTGACTAAGGTAATGGTCAGAGAAATCTGGAAGGGGCTTCTGCACACCCTCCTGGGCATTAAACACCTCATTAACATGAGACTACTGATAACTGCTGTCATCAGAGACTACTTCCTCACTGTGCCTGTGTTGTTGTGTTGCACCCTCACAGTTCAAAGTTCCAGGTGGATTTAAAAACTTAAGGCACACGATACAAATAAAATGATAAAAAAGGGTCCTCCAAACTACTCTTTTAATTATCTCCCTCTCTCATTCCCTCTCTCTTAACCCTCTCCCTCTCTGTCTCCCCCTTACTTCCATTCAAATAAAAATGGAATAAGTTCAAGCTACCTAATGTTACTGCTCCTCCTTGTGAGTAGCTGGAAAATATCTGAACCTATGCAGAATCAAGTGGGCATTTAGGTAATAAGTGACATTATGTTTGTAGCCTGGTAAACTCTTTGTACATAAACCAAGAAGGAGCCCACTGCTTTTCCTTTATTTTCTCTTCTAACTCCCCATTTTATCATTTCTCCTTTCCCATTCTGAGGCTTTCACCTCTCAGAAAACTAAAATTCTTTATTTTTTATAATAGTAATTATCAGGAGTGATAGAGAGCTAGAAGTTGAAGGGAATGACTGGTACTTGAATTTTTCAGTGGCTCTAGAGTACACTTGCTACTCCTCTGCTTAGGTAAAGAAAGTAGGTTCCCTCTTTTGTGTCCCACCTGCGTGTTGATGTTAATCAAAAGGAAAGAGGAAAATAAATTGCGACAGAGATATTGAGTACACAAAGGCACAAATATCACTGGTCTTTCCTCCTTTCTGGTCAGCAATACCACATGGGAGAAGGAAGAAGGGAAATGCATGCTCCCTATGTTTTCTGCCGATTTATTGGGATTGAAAGGCAATTACTGATTCCATGACTTGGTGAGCCTAGCCAAAGTCCAGTTGTTTCTCTCTTCTCTTCCCTAATTAGCAGCTCTAAACTGCACTTGGGAGGATAAAGGGGACAAACACTCCTATTTAGCCACACCTTAAAGATGCATGCCAGCAGGACTGCGTTCAAGGCCCTGCTATCCCCTTCTGCTATGCCAACGACCAGAGCTCCAATTCAGCCATCTGTGATTGTCCATGGTACATTTGCCATTACCATTCTTAGTCTTAGAGCCATCTGCTTCAGTGCTACAGCTTCTAATAATACTCTTCTAGGTTCATAGTGTGTTGCTTCTCCAAATCCAGCTTGTTCCCTCTTTGCCTTGCTTGATTCAGTCTCAACTTTATCTCCATAACTAAAAGTATATATTCTCTATTGCTAATGACGTCTCCAGATTTTCTTTTTAAAAAAATACTCTCCAAAAAATCTTTTATATATATTACAAGTCCCTCTGGTCCCTAGATATAAAGACACTTGGTGTGTTTTTGAGTAAAATCCCCTTGTGTACAACTTCTTTTTTGCCTCTTTGATCTTTTGTAAAAATGTAAAACAAGTTTGTACATGCTTTTGGGGGGAGGTCAGTGTCTGGAAGTAGCTCTATGCCAAGAAGCATTTTAAAATAAAGTACTAAAAACTGTTGATGTTTTTCTGTAAATATGGTAAAGACTGAAAGGTATGGATGCAAATTTGGTTTTATAAGGAGAGAAAATAAACAAAGATACCACATAAGAGTTTGCTACTCTTGTGACTTGTATCAGTTTAACTATTATTTTATAAAATTATTTGTTTTATTAATATTGCTTATTTTCCCATTTTTCTACCATGTGATATTTTAGATTCTTTCTGTAGTTATTAGGAGTTCTGCAATCTACACATTTTGGGAGCAAGCCTATAACCTTAGAAGGTTTTCAATTCGGTAGATTCTAGCTCCTGTTTCTGGGAAAACTCGATTTTTTTCTTTCTTTCTTTCTTTATTTATTTTCATACTTTTATTGAGAAACAAATAGCAATGAGACAGTTTAAAATAAAACTTGTAAGATAGTTTCAATAATTAACATTGCATATATTCTTCCTAGTGGTTATTTGCTGTACAAGATGCAGACATAATATCCTGTTTAGAAACACTATTAGAACAAATCCCTCTATTCATTAAGGGAAGGTAACTATATATCTATCCTAACCATTTTGAATACACAGATACAAAATGGACATTCATCTGTATAACTTTTTTTGTTTAGTTCTGTCATTTGAATATTACAGGTGTGTTAAATCAGCAAAATATTACAAAAGGGTCCAGTAGTCCATGATACTATCGGGTCTTCTACTTGACTGGTAATGTCAGAAATTATTGACGTGCCGAGTTTGGGGAGCCCACAGACACAGTCCTAGCCCAGGTCCGGGGAGTGTGCAGAGAGCT